ATCCTGCGGATGAAGATGCCATCCGTGAAGGAAATCATGCTCTTCACAGGCTTTGGTATCATCTTGTTGGTTGTCCTGCTCCTGACAGTCAAATCAACAAGTGGAAATGCCCTGTTGTATGCTGGCTTGCACTCAGCAGTGTCAAAGCTGATGGACGCTTCATGGATGCTGCAGAATATACTCCTCTTCTTGCACGATGGGAATACCTCATGCGTCAAACTCAGCTTTATCATGCAACCATTGTTTATCAGACACAACCTCAGCCTAGAATTAAGGAATTTGATGAGTGTGTATTTGATCTTGTCTTATCTTCTCTGCTAATCATTAAGCAGAATTTTAGCAGAATTTTGCAAGAAAAATCTAATCGAGGGTGTGCCTTCTCCATACAACACTGTTCGTGAACATCAGCACTTTGCATCTGCCCTAGTAAAACGCACTGCTGCACCACCTCGAATTACCTGGTCACCTGACATGGCTAAAATTACTTGCGATGGACATACCTTGGAGATGGCATGCTTGCGCAGTGGTCTGAATGCTATTGCTACATTCATTGAAGATCACTTTCAAAGTCTGCTACTGGGCAACACAATCAAGCCACATGTGCCAGAGGATATGGTAGAGGATATGGCAGATAAGCGAGTTGGCTTATCTTGGGTTGAGAAGCCAAACCTTCTTGACAGACCTTATCCACTGCTGGAGATTTTACAGCATCATCCTGATTACAAAATCTGCTACATCGATGCACAGGAAAACTTTCACTGGAATCGTGCTGGCATGATTGCTGCTCGTCAGGAGTTCAGCTGCATCAATGAAGCACTTTCCATCCTCTGCTTCATGCTTCCTGCTCCTCCTCCACGTGGAACAGAGTTCACTGACACTCGCTTGCGCAATGCTCAAATTCAACGCAATATCTACAAGGATCATGGAACCTGGATCGTTCACATTCATGTCAAGACCTCTTCTCTGACACAGTCACTGTCATGGATACCCACCCTTTGTCCTAAACGTCTTTCTACACTGCTTGACTTCTACTGCCTGGTCATACGTCCAATAGAGGTTCTGATTGCACATGAAATGGAAGGTGAAGCTGGTGTACTCCTGCATCATGAATTTTTGTTTTGTCAGGATGGTCATCACATTGACTCTCGTCACTTTTCACGATCATTGGAGCGCTTTTCAGAGCGTTACATGAAAGAGGCATTCACCATCCACACCTGGCGTCACATGGCAATTGCAATTCAACGAGAGTTTCTAGGTGATCTCGATTTATCTGGAGATCATATGGGTGATCTTCTCTCCAATCATGGCACTGCACAAGCTCGAAAAACCTATGCTCGTGAGCATGGTGATCTTCCCTTTCTCACCAGTGATGCAATGTGGGACAGTCGCCTCATCTGCGAGCAATGGCATGACATTTTAGGATGGGGAAAAAATATACCTCCACTTCCAAAGCGACTTTATCGCTCAGCAGCATCTGCCTCTATCATTCACAATCCAGCATCTCCTTCCTCCTCTTCTCAGCTCAATGCTGTCAATTTGGAAAATCTGGTCAATGCAGCTGTAAAGGTTGCAATAGGCGATCTCAAGTTTGACATTCAAAATATGTTGATCGATGCCATTGCTCACCATTCAGCTTCAAACTTGGTCAAGGAAGCATCCTCCTCCAATCATGCTTTGATCCATCAGGCTTCCATTGATCAGCATTCATCCATCTCTCACCTCTCACCTGTCTTACAATCACCACCGCATCATCAGGCACATTTTTCAGTTATAGATGAAGTGGAAGCACTGTATGCTGGCACTGTTGATGCTCAGCCCTCACCTAGGGTGGATTGGTACACATCATACAATGCATTCAAGGATGCTTTGGGCTCTAGGCTGCAGTTGTCCACTGTGGATGATCAACAGACCTCCAAATGTCTCAGAGTTGCACTCAAAGACAATAATGCTCAATTCAAGTCCACAGAACAGCTCAAGCTTTTGCATTATGTTCTTCAAGCTGAATGTCACATTGTTGCTGTTCTCCCTACAGGTGGAGGAAAAAGTCTGGCTTGGGAGGTCCCATCTATGCTAAAAGAGAAAAAGACAATCACTGTCATCTTGATCCCTTTTCTTCCTCTCATCCATGACATGCTGCGAAGAGCACAACAGAAGGGCATATCAGCATGCAAGTGGAATCCAATGATTCCTCCTTCTAATGATGTTCGATGCCTGTTTGCTTCTTATGAGTGTGTTGGCTCAAAGCAATTTATCTGGTATGTTCTCAACTCTATGCATCATTTGCATTGTACTAATATTATATTTTAGCTGGATGAAGGATCAACATTATGCCATTCAAAGAATCATATTGGATGAATGTCATGAAGGATTAATCTCAAATCACTATCGGGAAACCTTTCACAAGCTTGACATGCTTCAGCAGTTTGATATTCAGAAGATCTATCTTACAGCCACCTTGCCACCTCAAGAGATGCCTGGCTTTTTCCAGTTTATGGCTTTAGATCCACGACTTACCTTGCATATTCGTTCCTCAACTTCTCGTCCAGAACTATGTTTTCATGCAGTTTCATGTGAAAACTTTGCACAGCTTAATATCATCACCACACATCTCATCAGCACCCT